CATTTTTTCTGCCCTGCTGAGAGGAAACAAGGGCCATCAACAAGCCCATTAGCTAAGCAGACTTCTCCAACTCAGAAAATCAAATGACAGTCTCCCTCCTTGTAAGCATCTCAGTTTTTTGGAGAAATTTTCTTGGTGCTTCCCTCCCTCAGATGGACATTAGAAAGCCTAGTGTCTAGTTGGACACTAGAGAGCCCACTTTTCTCTCCTAAAGGCATTTGTTTGGAGAGCAGGACCAATAAAATGGTACTGGTCCAGTCCAGATAGCATGAAGTATTTAAAACAAATGGAGCCATTCATGTCAACCAAGATGGCCGTCAGCCAACCATGATACTTTGGATCAAGAGGGAAACTACCTAAGTCACCCTAGATGCATCTGGCAAGGGGTCACATGCAAGACATCTGCAGACGTGATTGGAACAGCCATGTCTGCAGAGCAGGACCACCCACAGATAGGCTCCTGGGCCAACTCCACACTTGGCATTAGGGGTGTCAAGACATTTATCAGAAAGACCCAAAACGGGGCAGTACACCTCTCTCAAGGTGTAACTGAGCAAGTTCAGACCACTGCCAAGACAGCCAAGCCACACACACCAGAGTGTTGCTCCATGCGACACTGTTCTGCCTTGGCATCGGCTGCTGGAGGCTCTGCCCTGCTGGACTGAAGATCCATCTGCCCACTGCCCACCTGGCTCCAGAGATTCTCCCTTGCAAGATGCTGACACCTCCCTTGCCCACCTTGCTGTCTCCTGGACCCACCAAATGAGACTCGGGGACTTGGGTTCGTTATTCCCCACTGATTGCTGTGTCTGTGTTACAGTTCTCTTAGATTGTTAAGAGTGTGAGTAGGATATTAATGTATGTTGATGTTCCACTTTGAGTGAACCTGCATTCAATATGAGCTGAGTGAACAGCACAGTTACTGTGTGTGACTCTCATGTGTTCCTTGGTGCCGGGCTGCTCAGCAGGCAGCTTGCCAAGCAGTTGCCTGGCTGACTTATAGGAAAGACTACATCACAAACATAATGTGCATAACAGTGTGGTGAGACGGCACAGTCTTCCATCACAATTGCTGCCCTGTCACCTCTCACCCCTTCACCACAGTGACTTGTGGTTGGGGGCATTGTTGGCTGAGCTCCTGAGAGCACTGTCCCAGTAAACACTGGTGGGAAGCAGCTAACCTTAATGCTGGCAGCTCTCTCAGAAGGATTTGGAGTTACTTAGAGCTTAATGACCTTTTTTTAGCTTTATCCACAGTTCTCAGATAACAGGGGGAAAACCACTGCCATCCTGCTATACCTCTTTCACATTTATTTTAAATAAATGGTAGCTAATCAAAATATGGAGGTAAAACTGGGAGGAATTTTTGAAAAACAGAATTTTAATTGTTTTAGGACTGTAAATGTTATGGATCCTATCAATCTAATCCATCATTTTCAGTGTGCCACAGGAATTCTTTGTTTGTTTGTTTGTTTGTTCGTTTGTTTTAGAAAGAGAGAGGAAAGGAGAGACGGACAGACAGACATCAATTTGTTGTTCAACTTACTTATGCACTCAGTAGTTATTCATGTATATGCCCTGACTGGGGGTTCAAATTTGCAACCTTGACATATTGGGACACTCTAACCACCTGAGCAACCTGGCCAGAGCTTGTAAAAAAAATTTTAATATATTTTATTGATTATGCTATTACAGTTGTCCCACTTTCCCCCCTTCACTCCCCTCCACCCTGTACACCCTCTCCCACCATATCCCCCCTTTAGTCATGTCCATATGTCATACTTATAAGTTCTTTAGCTTCTACATTTCTTTGATGCGTGGGTCACCGGCCAGCAGTGATCATGGAACGCTGTGGATGGCTCACCGAAAAACACGCAAGAAAAAACATACAGAGACAAACTAGTTTCTGTGGAGAAGTAGGGACGGAATGGCCACGCCCTCTAGTTAGGAGCACACCGATTTACTGTCCATACCTGCTTTTATTGGGCTAATTTTGCATAATAATTCAGGTAAAGCACAGTACTCATTATGAGGAAGTAAGGAAACATAGAAAACAAGGAACTCTGCCGGTCTATTTTGAGTCGGGGTCAAAGAGCTGTAAGACTTTGAGGAACAAACTAACTTCCTCCTTGGACCCCTCTCACTCAACTGAGAGCATTCTAAACAAAGAAGGTTTCACAGTAATTTACATACTCTTTCTTAGGCCTGATCACCCGGGGAATCCGCACTTCTCAGCACAGAGCTGCACCACCCTGTCATTGTTTCAGGCTTAGGTGGAGCAAGGGAACTAAGGCAACCAAGAGATAAGGAGATTTTCTCCCAGACGAGGAGAACTCAGGCTATGTCAAAGCCGAGGAGTGAGGGTCCATCACCCCCTTTTGCTGCAGCCCCCCAAGTCCTTCTTTTGGGGGGCCTCCCAAAGTGATTGTGCCTGTCTTAGGTCGTTCCCCCCTTGGGGAATCTTACCCATCTTTGGCTAACTGACCAAGCTTTTTGGGGTTCAGTTATGAATGAAGCAGCAGAAGCAGCACTCCTGCCAGGGACATAAGCTTTTGTCTCCTTGCTGGCTTACGGTTCCAAGGGCGTTCCCTTAGCCTTAGCCTAGGCAGAGGTTTCAGCTTCTCATACCAGTCAGGGCGGTTCCCAACATTTCTCATACTATTCTTACCCTCCCCCTGTGTATTTTCAACCTACAATCTATGCTACTTATTCTCTGTACCTTTTCCCCCTCTCTCCTCCTCCCACTCCCCTGTTGCTAACCCTCCATGTGACCTCCATTTCTGTGGTTCTGTTCCTGTTCTAGTTGTTTGCTTAGTTTCTTTTGGTTTTGCTTTAGGTGTGGTTGTTTATAATTGTGAGTTTGCTGTCCTTTTACTATACATGTTTTTTTCTTTATCTTCTTTTTCTTAGATAAGTCCCTTTAACATTTCATAAAATAAGGGCTTGGTGATGATGAACTCCTTTAACTTGACCTTATCTGAGAAGCACTTTATCTGCCCTTCCATTCTAAATGAGAGCTTTGCTGGATAGAGCAATCTGTGATATAGGACCTTGTCTTTCATGACTTGGAATATTTCTTTCCAGCCCCTTCTTGCCTGTAAGATCTCTTTTGAGAAATCAGCTGACAGTCTGATGGGAACTCCTTTGTAGGTTACTGTCCCCTTATCTCTTGCTGCTTCTAGGATTCTCTCCTTCATTTTTACCTTGGCTAATGTAATTATGATGTGACTTGGTGTGTTTCTTCTTGGGTCCAACTTCTTTGGGGCTCTCTGAGATTCCTGGACTTCCAGAAAGTCTATTTCCTTTGCCAGAATGGGGAAGTTCTCCTTTATTATGTGTTCAAATACATGTTCAATCTGTTGCTTTTCCTCTTCCCCTTCTGGTACCCCTATAATTAGGATGTTGAAACGTTTAAAGATGTCCTGGAGGTTCCTAAGCTTCTCCTCGTTTTTTTTTTTTGAATTCTTATTTCTCCATTCTTTCCTGTTTGGTTGTTTTTTTCTTCCTTCTTGTCCACTCTATTGTTTTGAGTCCCAGTTTCCTTCCCATCACTATTGGTTCTCCATGCATCTTCCTTCATCTCTTTTATGGTAACCTGCATTTTTTCATCTAATTTGCAACCAAAATCAACCAATACTGTGAGCTTCCTGATCACCAGTGTTTTGAACTGTGCATCTGATAGATTGGCTATCTCTTGGTTGCTCAAAAGGATGAGTCCTGGGGCATTGATCTGTTCTTCTGTTTGAGACATGTCTCTCTCTCTCTCTCTCTCTTTTTTTGTTTGGTCTGGTCGCTCCCGTTATGGTGAGGGGCGGAGCCTTAGGTGTTCACCAGGGCTGGGCACCCCAGTCACTAGATTGTGACGTTGTATGGGGGGGGGGGGGTCGGGACGGGGCGGGGGTGAGAGGGAACAATGGTGGTAGTTCCATTCCCCTGAGACCTCAGTTTTTTCTCTGGGATCCTGGGTTTCGAGCTCTGCCCTGCTCCACAATCGCCACCTCACTGGGTCCACTAGCTGCTGCTTGCATACTCAGGGTCCACCCGTTGTGATCTTGCGTGCCCCAGATGCCTTACATGCTCCCAGTTGCCTTATGCCCCCAGTTCTCCCTGTTCTCTGTGCACTGCGACCCGCGCCCGGCTGCTCCTCTCTGTCCCTCCTACCGGTCTGGATGAATGGGTCTACTTCAACTTATTGGCTGTCCAACTTCCACTCAGATAAATTCTCTATCAGTTCTGGGTGTTATTCTACCTGTAAATTGTTGTTGTTCTAATCTTGGTTGTGCGTGGAGGTATGGTGCATCCACCTATGCCTCCACCTGGCCGGAAGTCCCGAGCTTGTAAGAATTTTTTAAACATGCAATCCTTGATTATTTAGCCAGGACACTGACTTCCTTCCCCAAACTGTCAAATAAAATAATGACAACAGCCAACACAACAATACCCATCTGGTGTGAATGAATCAAAATTATACCTATCTTTTTGTTGGATCACCAAATAATATATTTTTTTGGTGTGCCACAGAATTTTAGTAATAAGTTTATGTGTTAATGTGTCATCATCTCATGTTTCTGAGTCTCAGTTTCTTTCTCCAATTCCCCTCACCACTGTCTCATGGAAGATGGACAGAATTCATTCATAGGATAAAAAGAAATAATGTATGTAAAAATACTTTGTACATACAGATATTCACTAAATGTTAGTGAAATCTCAATTAAGCTGGATGTAATCAAAAATAACATTAAATTTATACAAATTCACTGGCTATTTCAGTAAAACTACCTTTAGAGAATCATCTAATTGTAAATTAATTCTCAATGATAAAAATAGTGTCACAAAATCTTTTTTAAAACGTGACATATTATTACCATCTCATCTAATTTTATATTTGAAGTAATATTCATTAAAAAATAAACTTTGGATCCACTATCATTAAGGAAATTACAAGTCCAGTTAATGAAATCGCTCCTTTTACTTTTCACCACATTTCCTCTGCTACAGACATGGACAGAGACAACCAGACTGGAGTCACAGAATTTCTTCTTCTGGAACTCTCTAATCAGCCGGGGCAGGAACAGGTTCTTTTCGGCTCATTCCTATGTATGTACCTGCTCACCATCATCGGGAACTTTCTCATCATCTTGGCCATTAGCTGTGACAGTCGTCTCCACACACCCATGTACTTCTTCCTGGCCAACCTCTCCTGTGTGGACATCTGCTTTTCATCAGTCACCATGCCCAAGACGCTGGTGAACCACATGGTGGGAAGCAAGTCTATCTCTTACGTGGAATGTATGACCCAGATCTACTTCTTCATCACTTTCATCAACATGGATGGGTTCCTCCTGAGTGTGATGGCCTACGACCGTTACAACGCCATCTGCTGCCCACTCCAGTACACCATGATCATGAGGCCCCAACTCTGTGTCCTTCTGGTAGCAGTGTCTTGGGTCATTACAAACCTGCATGCTCTCCTTCACACTCTTCTCATGGTTCGGCTCACATTCTGTTCCAACAATTTTGTCCACCACTTCTTCTGTGACCCCTATGCAATTCTAAAGCTGTCCTGCTCTGACACCTTTGTCAATGACATGATGGTCTTTACTGTGGGTGGGCTGATATTTCTGACACCATTTTCATGTATAATCATTTCCTATGCTTACATTCTCTCTAATGTACTAAAGCTGCCAACTGCCCATGGACTAAGGAAAGCCCTGTCCACGTGTGGATCCCACCTCACTGTGGTCTCCCTCTTTTATGGGGCAATCCTGGGGGTCTATATGCACCCTTCATCCTCCTACTCAGTACGGGACATAGTGGCCACTATCATCTTCACCGTGCTGACCCCCCTCGTCAATCCCTTCATCTATAGCTTGAGAAATCGTGATGTGAAGGAAGCCTTAAGGAAACTAATTATTGTTAGGAGAATTGTTTTGTCAAGATCCTAGTATTAGAAAATTTTAAAGCTAAAAAAGCAATTGGAAGTCAAACACTTGTTTTTCAAAAGAGAAACTGAGGCCCAGATAGATGTGAAATTATTCCATGACCATTTCTGTAATTCATGGTCATGACCTTATTTTAAAAGGAGGCTGACAGGTGCTCTTTATGAAAAGTCATAAATTCGTTCATTTGACACCTATATAAAGGTCTGATCCTATGGCCCCCAACATCCAGATGAAAACTAGGCCAAGACCTAAGGGAAATAGATCCAAAGTGACACCTGCAAGCATTTTTTAAGGATGAGCATAGCAATGTTACATGGTACTGGCCACCACTAAAGTGTGGGACTTGCAAATGACTGAGCAATGGACTTGTTAGAGGTAGCTGCTCTATGTGCTCTCCCACGTGAAAAGTGAGGAAGCCTGTTGAGAGTGGTGTGAGTTTGAGAGTTCAGACACAGGAAAGGCAGAAAGCAGCATATGTATGCCAACTAGAGGCACATGTGTCCATGAAGTTTCACAGATCTCATGCCAATGATCTTCCTATGCATAATAAAATAGACCTGACAGTACTAAATTATTTCAATATGTCAAAGACTATCTTTGTATTACATTACTTAAGTCTCTTACCCCTTATGAGGTAATATGACAAATATTGCCATGGTAGAAGATGAGAAAATTGGGTCATAGAGAAATTAACTTGTCCAAGTCCATAAAACTATTAACTATAGAAACCAGAATGGTCCTGACCATTTTCTTTTGAGGTATTTGATTTTCTTTTTTACTTCTTATTGTTAATTTTATTATTTTTAAGTTGCATACAGTAACTTGAAAATATTGCTCCTTTTGGGGGCATATAGTTCTATGAGCTTTAAGACATTTATAGATTTGTATAACCAACATAGGTCTCAGACAAAGAACAGTTCCATAAACTTACAGTCAAGATAGTGAAGTAGGTAAACCTTGTGCTTGCCCCCTCCCGTGGTCACATCAAAATTACAACTAGGTTATAGAATAACCACCCTTGAGAAAAAGCTGAAGACCAACTGAAAGATAACTCCTATAACTAAGGATGTAAAGAGGAAGCCACACTGAGAATGGTAGAAGGGGAAGAATCAGCAAAATGAGCTGATTCCACACCCATGTGTGGTGATTAAGAACAGGGAGGGATGTTTTGGGTCTGGAGGAACTGGCTGAAGAGTGAAAGTCCCAGATTAGAGCCCCAGTGCTGGAAAAGAACATCCCCACAACATCTGGCTGTGAGGATTGTCAGGGACTCCATCGGGTGAGAGATGGAGTGATGCTGTAGACCCAGGTGTCCTCTTAAAGGGTCTGAACACAGACTCACTCAGTCACAAAACCTTGCCTTAATCTCCAGCAAAGGGACAGTTGCTTGAAAACCACATAAGAAATATAGGGAGAATTGAATTATCTGGCTTTAGTGTAAGGGATGAGGTCCAGCTCTTTCTTGGACTGGTGTGCTGGCACAAGTCATCGTTTCATTGCTGAGTCCTCCCTCCATATAGCCAGCTGGTACACACCCAGTCTGAGTTTCCACTATCCTGGCCAGCATTATGCCCTACTATGGTGATTCCCTGAGACCACACCCAACCCACTAGCATGCTTTCAGTGGCTATTATACAGCATTATGGCTTCAATATGCCCTGTACCATGGCTAAGTCGCTTCAAGTCCAGATGTTTTAGAATGGGGCCTCGGTTCTCAGCATAGCATGTGCCAGGTGCCTTGAAGCCCAGTACAGGGAGCTATCAAATGCAGATCATTGTTTAGATCCTACCGGGTGGCTCTGGGCCAGGTACAGGTAGCAGCAGACCTGGGTCTGCACTCAGCTCCTCCTAAAAGACCCCAGAACTAACATAGCAGAGCACCTCCCTACCAGTTCCATCAATTACACCAAAAGAGTGTACTTGTAAGATATGAGAACTCTGCTAAAGCATGTCCCAACCCATGACATCAGCTCTTACTCAACAGCTCATCAGCTATAGTTATGGCCAGGATTCATTGCCAGACAGTCTGAGGGTCAATCTCACCCAATTATGTGCCAACAACAATCAAGGTTCAACTGTGACAGGAGTGCCCACACAACCCACACAAGAGCCATCTCTGGAGCACCTGGCTCAGGTGACCAGGGTGACTGTACTACTGGGCATCACAGGACACATAGTAGTACATAAGACCACCCTGTCAAGAGGGGTGACTTACTTAGCAGATATATCCAATACACAGGGGGGAAAAAAACCCACAGGATGGCAACCAAAAATGAAAAGACAAAGAAACATGTACCAAATAAAAGAACAGAAGAAACCTCCAGAAAAAGAACTAAACAAAATGAAGGCAAGCAAACTACCAGATGCAGAGTTCAAAACATTGGTTACAAGAATGCTCAATAAACTTATGGGGAAAAATAGTTGAATTCAGTGAGAACTCACACAAAGAGATAGAAACCATAAAAATATCAGTCAGGAATAAAGAACACAATAACTGAAATAAAGAATACATTAAATGGAATCAACAGCAGATTGGGTGAAGCAGGGGGTTGGGTGAACAATTTGGAGAAAGGGTAGGTGAAAATACCCAGAAGAGATTGGCATGAAATATTCAAAGTGATGAAAAGCAAGACCTACAACCAAAATTACTCTTCCCACAAAGCTATCATTTGGAATTGAAGGATATATAAAGAGCTTCCCAGACAAAAAAAAGAAAGAAAGATAAAGAGAAAACTAAAGGAGTTCATAATCTCAAAACTGACATTATAAGAAGTGTGAAAGAATTTTTTTAAAAAGATAAAGAAGAAAAAATATAAATAAGAAAATATGGTAAAAAAAATACTCTACTGACAAAGGCAAACACATGATAAAAGCAGTGGTTCAACCAACTATAAAGTTAGTACAAAAGTGAAAAGGCAAAAGCAGAATGATCATTTGTAATTATTAGAGAAAATTAACTGATACACAAAAACACATGCACGAAAGAAGCAAAAACTAATGACAAAAACAAATGTAAAGAGAGTGAGAATATGGTGGTGATTATAGAACACGTTCAAACTTAATCATCAACTTAAAATGTACTGCTATAAACATATTTTGGCATATATGAAGCACATTGTAACCACAAACCAAAAATCTACAAGAGATATAAAAAAAAATAAAGAGAAAGGAATCCAGTCACAACAATTCAGAAAGTCACCAATGTACAAGAGAAGAGAGCAAGAGAATAAGAAAGGAATAGAAAAGAACTCAAAACAAGCAGAAAACAATTAATAAAATGTAATAACTATAGACCTATGAATAATAACTTTAAATGGATTAAATGATCCAATCAAAGGACATATGGTGGCTTAATGAATAAGAAAACAAGGCTATATATATGTTGCCTACAAGAGATCTTCTTGAGATCTCCACTTTAAAGTCTCCACTAAAATGGGGAGACAAGGAAACTGCCCCCAATCAAAAGGAAAGGAGGAATCCACAGAAAGAGTGCTAAATGAAATACAGGCAAGTAAACTATCACATACTAAGTTTAAAACAATGGTTATAAAGAATCTCAATGAACTCAGTGAGAATTACCAAAATCTACAGGGAAGCTACAAGGAACTTATTGCAAACTACATCAGCATGAAAAATGACGTAGAAACTATCAATAACAGCAGGGGAGGAAAGGAAGAATTCAATTTCTGAATTGAAGAACACAGTAGAAAGACTCAAAAGCAGGCTAGATGAAACACAGGATCGAATCAGTGAGCTAGAGGACAAGGTAGAAAAAAATTCCCAGAAAGAGCAAGAAAAGGAAAAAAGACTCAGAAAGAAGGAAGAGGGGTTAAGGGAACTGCAGGATAACATGAAATGTAAAAATATCTGTATAATAGGGATAACAGGAGAAGAGGAGGAGCAAGAGATACAAAAACCTGCTTGAAAAAGTAATGATGGAGAACTTCCCTAATTTGATGAGAGAAAAAGTCACTCAAGTCCAGGAAGAACGGAGGGTCCCAATCAAGAGGAACCCAAAGAGGCCCCCCTCAAGACACATCATAATTAAAATGGCAAAATTCAAAGACGAAGAAATCATCTTAAAGGCAGCAAGGGGGAAACAGGAAGTGACATACAAGTGATTTCCAATAAGACTAGCAGCTGACTTTTCAATAAAACACTAGAAGCCAGAAAGAAATGGCAAGAAATATTCTATGTAAAAGCAAAGGCCTGCAACCAAGACTACTCTACCCAGCAAGGCTCTCATTTAAAATGGAAGGTGAAATAAGGAGCTTCCCAGACAAAAGAAGGCTAAAAGAATACACCTCCCCCAAACCAGCATTGCAAGAAATGCTAAAGGGGCCGTAGAAGATGAAGAAAGAAAGTGTGAGAGAGAAACACAAGTACAAAGACAAAAAATGGCAATGAATAAGTACCTATCAATAATAATCTTAAATGTAAATGGCTTAAATCCTCCAATCAAAATACACAGGGTAGCTGAATGGATAAGAAAACATGACCCAAACATATGCTGCCTACAAGAGACCCACCTGAGATCAAAAGACCTACACAGACTGAAAGTGAAGGGCCAGAAAAAAAATATTCCAAGCAAATGGACAGCAAAAAAAGCCGAGGTAGCAATACTTATATTACACAAAATAGACTTCAAGACAATGGCCATAAAGTGGGACACAGAAGGACACTTCATAATACTCAAGGGAAAAATCCATCTAGAAGACATAAACATTGTAAACATATATGCATCCAACATAGGAGCACCCAAATATATAAGGAAAATCTTGGAGCACTTCAAAAAAGACATAGTCAGCAACACACTTATAATAGGGGATTTTAATACCCCACTATCAACAATGGATAGATCTTCTAAACAATATATCAACAGGGATACTGTGGCACTGAATGACACACTAGATCAAATGGGCTTAACTGATATTTACAGAACTTTTCGTCCCAAAGAAACAAAATACACATTCTTTTCAAATGCACCTGGAACATTTTAAAAGACAGACCACATGACAGAATACAAAACAAGCCTCACCAAATTCAAGAAAATTGAAATCATATCAAGCATTTTCTCCAACCACAAGGGCTTGAAACTAGAAATGAACATCAAGGAAAAAATTCAAAAGCATTCAAATTCATGGAGACTGAATAGCATGCTATTAAACAATGAATGAGTTAAAGTGAGATCAAGGAAGAAATAAAAAAGTTTCTGGAAACAAATGAAAATGAACACAGAAGAGCCTGAAACCTATGGGACACAGTGAAGGCAGTCCTGAGAGGGAACTTCATAGCAGTACAGGTCTACCTAAAAAAGACAGACACATTTCAAATAAACAGCCTAACCCTACATCTACAATAACTGGAGGGACAACAACAACTAACAAAGCCCAGAGTAAGCAGAAGGAAGGAAATAATCAAGATCAGGGCAGAATGAAATGACATAGAGACTAAAAGAACAATTCAAAGGATCCATAAATCCAAGAGCTGGTTTCTTGAAAAGATAAACTTGTCAAGCCTTTAACCAGATTCAATAAGAAAAAAAGAGAGGGAACTCAAATAAATAAAATCATAAATGAAAGAGGAGAAATAACAATTGATACCACAGAAATACAAAGAACTGTAAGAGATTATTATGAATAGCTACATACCAAGAGATTTGAAAACCTGGGTGAAATGGACAAATTTCTAGAGACATAATCTTCCAAAACTAAGTCAAAAAGAAACAGAAGGCCTGAACAGACCAGTAACAGCTAGTAAAATTGAAGCAGTAATCAAAAAATATCCAGCACACAAACCTCCTGGACTGGTTTCACAGGAGAATTCTACAAAACATTTAAGGAAGAACAAACCCCTATCTTTCCAAAATATTCCAAAAAACCCAAGAAGAGGGAAAACTCCCAACTCTTTTTATTAGGCCAGCATCCTTCTAATCCCAAAACCAGACAAAGACACAATGAAGAAAGAAAACTAGAGGCCAGTATCACTGATGAACATAGACACTAAAATCCTTAACAACATACTGGCAAACTGCACCCAGCAATACATTAAAAAGATCATACACCATGATCAAGTGAGATTCATCCCAGGGATGCACAGATGGCACAATATTTGCAAATCAATAAATGTAATATATCACATAAAGAAAAGGAAAAACAAAAATCACATGATCATATCAATAGATGCAGAAAGAGCATTCGATAAGGTACAGCACCCATTTATGATAAAAACACTCAGCAAAGTGGGAATAGAGGGAGCATTCCTCAACACAATAAAGGTCATATATAAGAAATCTACAGCCAACATCATACTCAACAGGTTAAAATGAAAAGCTTTCCCCCTCAGATCAGGAACAAGACAAGGGTGTCCACTTTCACCAGTGCTATTCAACATAATATTCAAAGTCCTAGCCACAGAGATCAGACAATAAAAAGAAGTAAAAGGCATCCAAATTAGAAAGGAGGAAGTAAAACTGCCATTGTTTGGCATGACGTGATACTGTACATAGAAAACCCTATAGACTCCATCAAAAACTACTCAACCTAATAAGCAAATTTGGCAAAAACAGCAGATACAAAGTCAATATTCAGAAATTGAAGGCATTTTTATACACCAACAATGAAATATCAGAAACAGATTTTAGGGGGGAAATCCCATTTGCTATAGCAACAAGAAAAATAAAGTACCTAGGAATAAACCTCACCAAGGAGGTAAAAGACCTATCTTCAAAAAACTACACAACACTGAAGAAAGAAATTAAGGAAAACAAATAAATGGAAGCATATACCATAGTCATGGAGTGGAATAATTAACATCATCAAAATGTCCACACTACCTAAAGCAATTTATAGATGCTTGGTATTGCTAGGCATCAGAGAGATGCAAACTAAAACCACAGTGAGATACCACTTTACACTGGTCAGAATGCCCATCATAAACAAATCAACAAACAACAGCTGCTGGCGAGGTTGTGGAGAAAAGGGAAGCCTAGTGCACTGCTGGTGGGAATGTGGACTGGTGAAGCCACTGTGGAAAACAGTATGGAATTTCCTCAAAAAATTAAAAATGGAACTGCCCTTTTACCTGGCAATTCCACTGTTGGGATTATACCCTAAGAATCCTGAAACACCAATTCAAAAGATCCTATGCACACCTATGTTCATAGCAGTGTTACTTACAATAGCCAACTGCTGGAAGCAGCCTAAGTGCCCATCAGTAAATGGGTGGATCAAAAAACTGTGGTACGTTTTTACAATGGAATACTACGCAGCAGAAAGAAGGAACTCCCACCCTTCGAGACAGAACAGATGGAAATGGAGAGCATAATGCTAAGTGAAATAAGCCAGGTGGTGAAAGACAAATACCATATGATCTCACCTGTAAGTGGAACCTAGTCAACAAAACAAACAAGCAAGCAAAATAGAACCAGAGACATAGAAGTAAAGAACAAACTGACAGTGACCAGAGGGGAGGGGAGAGGGGAAAGCCGGAGAAAGAAGAGGAAGGGTCAAGTGGTGGAACAGGTATAAAGGACCCATGGACAAAGACAATAGGGGCATGGGAGGATTGAATGTGGGGGGTAGGGGTGGGTAGGGCAGGGAAAGTAATAAGGGGGAAATGGGGACAACTGTAATTTAACAATAATTTTTTAAAAAAGAAAAAAAGGAAAATTGGCAGAGGACCTAAATGGACACTTTTTCAAAGAGAACAGATGGCCAACAGACATGAATATGCTCAAGGTCACTAATCATCAGAGAAATGCACATTAAAGACTTAACAGGATATCACCTCATACCTGTCAGAATGGCTGTCATCAGTAAATCAACAAACAACGAGTGCCAGCAAGGACGTGGAGAAAAGGGAGCCCTCATGCACTGATGGTGGGTTGTGCAGCCACTGTGGAAAACAGTATGGCGATACCTCAAAATATTAAAAATAGACCTACCACACGACCTCATAATCCCACTTCTGGGTATTTACCTGAAGAAATCCAAAACACTAATTTGAAAAGATATATGCACCTCTATGTTCATTGCAGCATTATCTACAATAGCCAAGATCCAGAAGCAACCTAAGTTTCCATTGATGGACTACTAGATAATGAAGATGTAGTACATATATACAGTGGATATTACTCAACCATAAAAAAAAAATGAAACTTTACCATTTGAAAAAACATGGATGGACCTAGAGGGTATTATGCTAAGCAAATAAATCAGACAAAGACAAATATATGGTTTCATTCATACAGGGTGGGACAACAGTAGGTTTACAATTGTTCATATGGAAAAATAATATAATAATAAACAGTAATACAAGAATAAATTGGGTTTAGCATACTCACAACTCTAAACCTATATTTTCTTCATCCTATATGTGTAATCTAAAACAAACAAAACAGAAGGAAACTTATAGAAACAAAAAAACAAACTGATGGTTTCCAGATAAAAGGGGTTTAGGGGCTGGATAAAAACTGTGAAGGGATTAAGAAGCACAAATTGGCAGTTACAAAATAGTCATGGGAATCTAAGTTACAGCACAGTCCATAAATCCTAATAACTCTACATGGTGTCAGGTGGGTACCAAACACTGCGCTGTATGCCTGAAACTAATACACTGAATGCCCATTGTAACTGATAAACATTTTAAAAAGAGAACAGTTGTATTGCTCCAAAAGTCCCTCACGCTATCCCTGTGTAGTGAAACTCTCCCTCCTCTCCTAAACCATCAGCCCTTGATATATTCCCCACCCCCAGAGTTCTGCCTTTTCCTGAATGTCATGTAGATGGATTCATAATGTATATAAATGTTTCAACCTTGTTTTTCTTTTAGCTTAATGCCTGTGCGATTCGTCCATGCTGTTGTGTATATCAATAAAGTGTCCCTTTTTATTGCTGAATAGCATTCTATTCAGTGGATAAAACTACTACAGACATGCATATAGGCTTTGTGTTACCATTTCTCTGGGGAAATACCCAGAATATTCCTGGGTCATATATAACTTTACATTTAAATTTCAAAAAAAAAATCACCAAACCATTTTCCAGAGTGGCTGTAAAATTTTAGAGTCCCACCTACAATCTGTGAGAGGTCTAGTTCCTCTACATCCTCACCAGCACTTGGTATTGTCGCTGTGTAATGGTATTTCATTGGGGTCTAAGTGTGAAGGTTTCTAATGACTAAAATATTGAGCACATTTTCATGTTTTTATTTGATATCTATGTCTTCACTGGTGCAATCGATGTCTGTTGAAATATTTCGTCCATTTTTGTTAGATCCAAAATTATTTTTAACGGAGGTATTTTCACTTATTAAAAATGAGTTTATTAAAATAATGAGTTTATTTCACATATATATGTTTGTCTTCCCACCACTTGCATTGGTCTCGCCACCATTACTACTGTGTTCTGTCATAACATTCGGAACATACAGAAAAGCAAGGGAAGGGTGGAGTTTCATCCTTACGCACTAAACAGACATTCTGGACAACGCATTCTTGCAATGGAACTTGGATGTTTATTAGACATGGTAGAGAAAGTTCTCAGTATGCATTATAAAAAGGACAGCCAGATAGATAGCACACTGTTGAAAAGGTTATACAATTCTGTCCATGCCTTGTTGTACCTCGCCCAAAGTTGTGGAGAGCAGTGGTTTCCGTTCTGTTCACCGGCATACTTCCAGCTGCTTACAACTGGCTTAGCGCACACACTTTCGGTGAATGGCTGGAGCGGAATCTCCCCTTCCCTACCGAAGACCCGGGAACCCAGGACTCTGCGAAACACTCACGGCGGCGCCAAGTCCGGAAGTGGGGTCTAGGGACTCGCAGACTCACCAGCGACCCGCCAAGCGCAGAGAACTACACTTCCCAGGATACTCGGGTCCTGGCGTGGACTACACTTCCCAGAGTGATTAGTGGCCGTCCCTGCCCGGCCCCCTGCCCCGCCCATCCCGGACCCCGCCCCAGTGAGAGGCTTCCCCGGCCGGAGACCTTCGGGAGTCTCGACGGGAGGCAGCCCTCCGGCCGGGGAAGTTCCGGAGTCCCCCTCCCGCGGAGGCACGACCCGGGCAATACCCGAGGCCTGGGAAAGGTGAGCAGCGGAGGGTTGGCCGGGTGCGGGAGGGAGGACCGGGGCCTCGGGAGGATGCGCGGCGGCACAGGCCTGAGAAGCACGAGCGGGGCCTTTGTGGGCGCGAGTGGGCCAAGCCCCGGGCACCCCAGCTCTGTCCGGCTGCGCCCCTGGAGCTGCCCTGCAGGCATGCCCTTGAACGCTGCACTTCGCCTCCGTTGCCCCAGGCCCCAGCTCCCCTCCGGCTTCCTCCCGACCATTCCCAGCGCGCTCCCGCTCCCGCCGGACCCCTGCCGCCCGGCCCCTGCCGGCCTTTGAGTCCGCTGCGGGCGTTGAGAGGAAAGGTGTTTCCTCCCCTCCCAGCGGCCGCTGCCCTGCCAAGGGAGCAAACGGGCCCAACGATCTCTTTTCCGCGAGAAGTGAATTTCTGACTTCCCCCAATGGCAGAGTTGGGACTTTGACCCGGGTCTTTGTTTTCTGTGCCCACTGCTCTAAAGCAGCCCCTCCCCTCCCTGGGGAAGCGGATGTTTACCCTTTCCGAAGCAGTTTTCGGTAAACCTCTGGAAATCGAGTCCTTGACAGGAGGGAGGGGCCCTGGGTGGGAAAAGCTTGCGGTGGAGAAAGTTGTCGCCAGCGCGCTGAGGCCAGAGAGGACGCGCCAGAGCCGCGGTGGGAGTCCCAGGCGTCGTGGCCGGCTAGGTGAGCGCGAGCTGCTCCCACTCCGCCCTCAGTTTCCTGCTCTGTGAAGTGGGGGTGCTGAAGGTGCCCGCAGCGCTGGGGAACTGAACGGGGCAGGCGGGCCTGGCTTGCAGCAAGGCCCCAATTCGCTGCTGCTGCTGCTGCTGCTGCTGCTGCTGCTGCTGCTGCTGATCGGTGTTAGGTCCTCTCCAAGCCAGGGGAAGGTTGGCACCCGCACCGGCTGGCCCAGCCCTTCTCCCTGGTCCTGCTTGCTCCTGGTTCTTCCTGAGGTCTCTCTCGGAGGGCATGTGGGGCATCCTCAGGTGGTCTAAGGATTTGAGAGCTGCTGATTCTGGGGGCGGAAAGTGGAAGGGGCGTCTCTCTCCTGGCTCCCGTTCTCTTCTCACAGGTCTGCCTTCTGCAGGTTCTGCCTGTCCTCGGGGGGAAGAGCAGCGAAGGAGGACATGGCTCCTGAGCAGAGGGAAGCAAGCTGTCAGGTGAGTTCACTGTATCTCAGGTCTTAGGGACAGGTTGCTGTTGTTGTTTATTTGTTTTTGTTTGTTTTCCGTTTTCGCTCGCACTGAAATTCTCTACCCAGTGCAGCCTCCCCCAGGGTTTGGAACCCAAGTCCTTTTTCCTTGGAAGAGTTGTTCCACCCTGGCGGATGGTGCGTTCTGTGGTGGATGCTTGCCTCCTCCCCCAATCCATGTCTAGTGGTCCCCTTTTCTTTCTGAAATAGACACACTTTTTTGCATTAATCTCAACTCAGTGCATGATTACTAATTTGACAGGTAAGATGCCACACACCTTATATCACTTGGGGACAGAACAAATATCACACTCCACAGAGTTGCTTCCTGGCCCCACCTCCTTAGCTCACCCACACCTCCCTCCCTACCCTTGTCGGGAATACTTTCCTTTTTCTTGCTACCCCTAAGAGCCCTGGTGATACCTTCCCCAGGCTTCTCCAATCCATAGTTTTAGTTTTTTATTCCCTCTTAACTTTGCAGATTGTGTGCCTTGCTTCTGCAGCTCTTGAAAACTGATCTTGACCAGCTACTTTCATCTTTCTGTGTGGGAATGAGGGAGGGACCCCATACTGTGAGCCAGGGCTTAAATGCCTGATCGCCCTGTTGGAAGGCACAGGGTTGGAGGTCTGTTGGCTCCTCAGGAAGCAGCAGGGAGGGTCTCGTGGGATGTTGGCAGTGGAAAGGCAGTGTGCACAGTGGTTAGGAAGTGGGGCTTTTGGGTCAGATGGCTGGGTTTGAACCCATGTCCTCTGCTGCCATTTATGAGCATTGGGCAAATACCTCCACCTCTCCTTCTCTGGTTCCTCACCTGTAAAATGGGCACAGGAATTGGAAACTTTAGATCAAGGCCGGGCAAAATATGTGGTTGTCATGGTAGCCGAACCACATTTCTCTAGTAACGATTGCATTAGTATCCATAGAGAGAAACTGCTTTGCAGTGTCCCTAGGACTTAGAGGATGCTTGTCCTTTCTTCACTCTTCTTCATCTAGCAATAACAGGTAATGAAACTGGGCCCTGTCCTGGGGGCTTTACCTTTGTTCCCATTCTCACAGCAGCACAAGTCAAGTAACCTGAATTCAAACCCAGGTACGTGGCACTCTGTGTTCCCACTTGCTGTCCCCCAGCCACTGCTCTGGTGAGCTTTCAGAACCAGGCCAGGCCCAGCCCTGTACTGCTAGGCCTCTGGACCCACAGCATCTGGTGGTGTTTGACCTTAACCAACTGCAGCTAGCGCCTCCCACTGCACAGGTGGGCCACTTGCTCCTGAGGCTTTGCCATCCGTTCCGACAGAGCCACATCACTGTCTTGCCCAGAATCTTCTCCCCCCTGAGTGTGAGTGAACCCCGTCCTTCATTCTCCCTAACTTTGCCCGCTACCCTAACGTCAGTACTGCCTGGACCGGGTGGAAAACTCACTGACAGGACACTGATGACCAGGGAGAAAGTACACTGAGTACTGGCTTAAAAAGAAAAAGAAAAACATTAATGATTGTCCTGCCTCTGTCACCAATAAGTGAGGTGGCCCGAGTGTTGATTGCCCTGGACCTGGCGTCCCTCTCTCTAAAGGGGAGGGCTGAAGGCAGAGGCGGCCTTCAGTCTTTTCCAGCCACACTTTTTCTGTCATTGAGCAAGTTACTTCATGGGTTTTTCTTCTCTACCAGTTGGATTGTAAGTTCTTTTGAGGACAAGACCATTTTTTGTATTCCCACATATGCCAATAAATTACCTTATTATACATGTATTGCTTGCACACTCATTTTAAAAATTCAGAGAATAAAAAATACATGTATAAGGAAAAAATTAAAATCACTCTTACCCGCTCTGGCTGGTGTGGTTCAGTGGACTGAATGCCAGCCTGTGAACCAAAGGGTCACCAGTTCGATTCGCAGTCAGGGCACATGCCTGGGTTGTGGGCCAGGTCCCCAGTAGGGGGCATGTGAGAGGCAACCACACATTGTTTCTCTCCCTCTCTTTTCCTTCTCTTCCCCTCGCTAAAAATAAATAAATAAATTTTTTTAAGGTCACTGTTACCCTAACATCTGGAGATCATCATTATCACCCCTTTGGTGTGCATCTCTTGGAATCATTTTTATGAACCTTTATCTATGTATATATGTACATATGTTTGTATTTTACCATTTTAACTTTTTATTGTGCAAAAAGATACATAAAATTTACCACTTAAATCCTTTTTGAGTGTATGATTCAGTGGCATTCGGCACATTCACATTGTTCTGTAACCATCACCGCCCTTCCCCTCCAGTAAATGGAGGATCTCATTGATTTGCTAACCTGTGAGGTGGGCGCTGATGGGTGGTTCTGCAGAGTGGATTAGAAGGGCGCCTTGGACACTCACCTGGGTTGGAATTCCGTCTCTACCACTGAGCAGCTATATGTGTTGATTTATAATATAAAATACATATTTGGTCTTTATCCCAGATTCTGACACATAGCTTCCAAAGCACTTCTAATTCCCTAAGTGATTGGTAATACTTGGGTTTTTTATCTAAAATAACTTTAAGGCAATAAAGGTGAAATGGTTGTGTTTCGTTATTCCTAACCAGCCCTTTCAATCACACCAGACTTGACACGAATGAGGTGACCTGAGGACTGGGGCTGGTTGCCAGACAAACCAACCCTTATTAAAAGGTTGAAACTTTCAGCCTTCCGCCCCGTGGCCTGCCTGTGTGATGATTTCGTCAGTCATGCCAGTGATTTAATCCATCGTGCCCTCCTAATGAAGCCTTCATAGAAACCCAAAGGGACCAGGTTCGAGAGCTGCTCGGTTGGTGGAAGTGTCACCCAGCAGCACTTGAGGTCCTGTGCCTACTGCTGCCATCTGTGCAAGAATTCCAGAGGCAGAGGTTTGGTACTAAAGGAAAGGGGTCTTTATTCAAGAGCAGTTACTGAATCTTGTCAAGTCACAGCTTTAATCACATAAGCCTATACTCCAGCACCTGAGTTCTCCTAGCTTTTCCCTGTTAGTTTTTAGTTCTTTTGTTTCTATAGGGTTAGTTTATAAACTAGAAACAATGTAATGTACAGAAACTATGCAATTTTGGAACAATGGAAGGCTTCTGACTCAGAGCCCATCTCCTCTAGAACACCCAAGGAATAACCCTGCCACTCTCTGCCAGGCCAGCCCAGTCCTAGGCTGTGCCTGGAGTTCCCTCCCATCCAAAATACTGTCTGTTGGGAAATGCAGGCAGCTGCAGCACCATCATCCAGGCGTCCTCAAGGAAGAAGAGCCTAGAGTCTGAGGCTGAGAGCCAGCTCAAGAGTCAGAGCTCTCCCTGAGCCACAGAACCAGCCCTCTTTTTATTTCCATCGGCTCTGGAGGCATTCAGCCTCAGCCAGTTCTGTCCTAGACTGCCCACAATTGTCTCGCAAACTCCGATGGCCCTCCCTGCTTCTCCCAGGTGATCTGAGTTCTCTTAATCAGATCTCTGTATCAAATGGAGATTCTGGGACAGTGGCACATCTCCTAAGAGGGTGTGTCAGCTCCAGTCCCCTTTCCCAAAAGCCTGCCCTGTGCATCTCGTTGGCTGTTGCAGCATTATATTCTTTTATAATAAACCGGTAATCTAGTAAATAACTTGTTTTTCTGGATTCTGTGAGCCACTCTAGCACAGTAACCAAACCTGAGGAGTACATTGTGGGAATCTCTGAACAAGCGTTTTATGATTACCCATCTACCTCCCCGCCGCCCCCTTCTTCACTCTGTGACGGGGTCCTGGTGCGCTGGGGTGGCTTGTCGCAGCAGGTGTCAGTGACGTTCGAGGATGTGGCCGTGTTCTTTTCCCGGGATGAGTGGAGAAAGCTGCGTCCATCTCAGAGAAGCTTGTACCAGGATGTGATGCTGGAGAACTACAGTCACCTGGTCTCACTGGGTGAGGACACTGTCCCCGTGGTGCAGAGTTTAGAAATGGGGTAACTCGGCACCAGCTTTTCTGGGTAGAAGCTGTGGGTCATGAGAAACTCTGGCGGAGTTTGGCCTGAGGATTGCATGATTAGCTCTCCAAAAACAAATAGGAAAAACCTTTCCCCTTTATAGACATGGAACTGCCCCAGGGGTGGCACAGTCTGCAGTTACACAGTAGAGATCACCTCCCACTTCAGGCATCATGTTCCCATGTGACTCTTCTGCGTTTGGTGGCTCAGCTCCCAGCAGAAAGCGTTCCTCAGCCTTCTTCACTGACCCGCCACTTGCCTTTCCTAGTTCTCTTTTCCAGTCCAGAAACTGGGGTGACTTAGCACCTGCTTTCCTGGATAAGAGCTGTGGGTTTTCTACTAAACTTTCACTGAGTTTCACTCAGAGACTGGCCTTACGGGATCTTTACAAGTATATCCTAAAAACACACTGCCCCGTGTACATGGAGTTGCGGCGTGTGTGGGAATGGAGGAGGTGGTGTTGATAATCATCCCCTGCACTCTGTAAAATTACACATTAGAAGTTTCTTCGTGGTTCAGGCATTATTTTCTTGCAACGATTTTTTTTGTGGTTTCTTTGCCCTTGTCAGTGGGGGGGCTTTGTTCAGTCCCCGGACCCTCCCCAGACCCACCACCTGCCTTTCCCACATATGTTAGATTTTGTGGGCCACATACAGTTTCTGTAACATATTCGGCTTTTTTTCAACCACTCTTTGGTCAAGGGTCATTCATAAATAGACAGTAGTCTCGACTTCGCCTGTGACCTAAAGCTTGCTGACCACTGCCATCACGAAAGGGAATGAGGGAGTATTTTCTCCTTTTAAACAAGCTCCTTGGTACATGGTGCTTTCCATAGATGCCTGCTAGTGAATTTTATTTCAGTCTATACACGTAACACGTTCTACCTTCTGTAGGAAGCCAATGGCGCCCTCTGAATCAAGGTTGCATGTTTATGCTGTTTCCCTACTATACCACTAATTATTACATAGTCACGCCCTGCAAGTCCCTTCCTTTCCCTAACATACCTCTCATGTCATGGGGACACAACTTGAGCACCCCACTGAAGCTTTTGTGCCCTCCCCTGTTTTCCACTCAGATCTGGGATAGCTCTTTATAGCAAAACAAAACCAAGTCTTTTCCTTTTTGTCTGTGAGCAGGACTCCCATTTTCCAAACCCAAAGTGATCTCCCTGTTGCAGCAAGGAGAAGAGCCCTGGAAGGCAGAGGAGGAACGTCGCAGACACGCTACTCCCGGTGAGTGAGGCTGAGGGGCCTGGGCATCCCACAGGCAGCCGTCTGGCGAGTGGAAGGTGCGGCATGGGGACAACGGTCAGGAAAGTGTCCCCAGGGTCCTCAGTCCGCAGGAAGTGCTGGAAAGGGATGCACTGAGGACCCCAGATACAAGTGTCCTCTTTTTCCCTGGTAATCACTTCACAAATGAATCCATCAGGGTCTCTCTTCTCGCCCTTTCCTGTTGTTTCAGAGGAGGGCAGCAACATTCTCATATGTTCATTCTGCAAACATGGTGTGTTGAAGCACTTGCCAGTAGTTCGTTCTGACTGAGGCCCAGGGTGTGTGCTTGGGGGAAGAATGAGACGAGGAGAGAAGCAACTTTAGGAAACTTGTCGGGGGCTCTGTTATAACGTGCTTTGGCACAGTGGTTAGAGATGTGAGCCATCCGATGAGCGACCACAGAGGACTTTAAGCAGAAGAATGACATGGTCCTTGATACTTTAGAGAAGTTGGTCTGAATGAGAAACAGTCGAACGTCCTTCAGTAAAGGCACCGCTGACGGAGCTGCGGTCTGTCCCTGCTCTGCCACACGGTCGGAAAGAGAGCACCGGGTGTGGACAGAGCTCCCCCCACAGCACAGCAAGTTCTGGAGCATTGCTGTGGCGTGTCAGCATTTGTGTTTGAAGAAAAGTATGTGGGTGTGTGTCTACAGTATAACATGCAGGTGAGTACAGAGAGGACAACTAAGGGCATAGCTTAGCTGGTAACCGTTACATTTGGAAGAAGATCGAGAATGGGCGGGATAGAAGGGGACTTCATGTACATGAAATCTGTTGATTTTCACATGGAGAATGATCCATGAAGTTCTTAGCAGCTTGATATTAATAAGAACGGGCAGTTTGGAAGCACTGCAGGGGATGGATTTGAACTGAGGCAAAACTAGATGTGGGGAGTTCCCAGAGACTCAGGCACAAGGTGAAACTGGGCCTGGAAGGAGGCGTGCAGCGGGGTTCAGAAGGGAATGGGAAGGGTCCCTTGTTAAGAGTACAGGGCGAGTTTTGTGTGGCATGGGCCCATTTGAGATGAGATTGAGATACTCTGGCAGTCACTGCCCATAGGCAGTTTAAGGTACACCCTGACCTTTGGAACTCAAAGGTCAGGGAGCCATCAGTGCAGAGGTGGCATCAGAGGCCCTGAGCTGACCAGGCAAGGGAGCAGAGCGAAAGACAGAATCCCAGGAACATCGATGAGGTGGGTTAGGAAGGAAGCATCGGGAGAGGAAGGGGAGAAGCAGCTGGGGGCAGAAGGACACAGACCCTGCACCGTCTAGTGGGAGACACGTGCTGGGGAACCGAGCACACACAGTGTGCGGGGTGGCAGGTTCTGGCCTGGACCTCCTGGGAAGGTACAGAGTGCTGAGAATGCAGAGCAGGGGGTGGGGGTGGCCAGGCTTCCCTGAGGATGTGGAGTATTTCTGACTGGGAAAGAATGTGTGTGCTCGTCCAGAGCCAGGGGCCAGGTTTTGTAGACTGGATCGAGCAGGGCAGAGGGTGTCAGTCCTGCTGTTGGATGCGGGCTGAGCTGGGCTGACGGCCAGAAAGAGCAAAGAAGCAACCCTTTTCCCCTCTGGTGCCTCAGGCCCTCTGCTCCGAATGGGTGTCTCCTTTCCTGAGTGACATAAGCCTTCTTTGGATGAAATGAACAGGACATAAGACTAGAGTCCAAAGCTCTCCAGAGAGACGTTGGAGCTACGTGCAGATGGGGCTGGGCTTTCATTATTTTCAGGCTAGCCATCTGGGAGCGACCCTGGCATTTTTATTCCCTCTCAGCACCCAGCCTGCCGAACATCAGCAAGTCCAGTCCTGTTAGTATTTCCATAATGGTGTATCCTGGTGAAATCATCCGCACCCTCACCCCTTTCTCACCTGCCTACCTACAGTGTCCCCCTAAGTGGTTTCCCTTCTTCCTGCTTCCACTTGTGCCCCACCCCTCTGTCCTCTGTGCAGTGGGTAACTTGAGCATGCATTTTCCCTGTGGCTTTCTGTTATGAGAGGATTAAAATTCCAAAGTCCTTGCTATGGCATATAAGGCCTTAACATGATTGGCCCCTACCTTCTGCTTCGGTCTCCTTTACACTTTTGGCTCTTGCTTATGCACCTGAGCAATGTAGGTTCTTTGCTGGTCCTCTGAAGTCACCACACTTTTGTGTTCTGTTTTGTTTGCCAGGGAAGCCTTTCTTCACATATCCACATGGCTTTTATTATTTACTTATTTATTATATGTCACTTCATTTCCCCCCTTCCCCTCAACACTCAAGCACACATTCCAAAGTGTAAGTTCCAGAACTCTGTCTAAAGTCATCACATTGTCTACATTCCCTAGAATGTTACCTGGCCCATGGTAGGCACTTAATAACTATTTGTGAGTTGAAAGGATGTCTACAGCACATGCAAAGATAAAGGAGTGTGAAAAAGCATGGAGTGATCCAGAAACTGCACATGGTTCGGCATACCTGACAAGAAGCCAGGGGAGGGAGATGACAAAGGTGGCCAAAGGTCAGATTGTGGAACACCTCAATCACCACGTTAAGAACTCTGGACCTTGTATTTAAACCATTAAAGATGAGTTGGAGGATCTAAGGAAGTTTGCAGCATGATGAGATATACTGATTTAAAAAGAGGACTCTAGCTACAGTGTGGAAACTGAATTGGCAGAGAGCAAGACTTAAGACAAGGAGACTGTGTAGGAGACTGTGGGAGACTGCAGTGAAGCGTGGGAAGCAAAACGCCGCAGGTGCCTGTGCCCAGGTGCTCAGGGCTCTAGTGAAGGTGGGCACTAAACTGCAGGCTTTACATACAGGCCTCAGGCAGGATCTCTGACTTTACCTTGTTACAGGCCAGAATCCAAATTGCAGAATTTTACTAAATTTACTAAACCCAGAACAAGTGTACTCCAATTTTTTGTGTGCATGGGACTGACTTCCATACTTTCACCCAATAATATATTGAAATTTGATCATTTAATTTTTTAAGACTTAGATGGAAAATGAGCTAGGAAGTTGTTGGGCAGAAAGTGAAAAACTCCTCTTTCCCTTACAGTAAGTAGTAAAGATATGGGTGCATATAAAATTAATCAAGGAGGGAGTGTAGAGTGAAAAAAAAAAACCCAAACCCTAGGGAATACTAGTTTTAAAGAGGGAACAGGAAAAGTTATTCATGAAGGAAACTGAGAAGTGAGTACTGATAGAAGAAGAAAAAAGGAAAGCACAATACATCGTGCTCACCAAGGAGAAGGCCTGTGTACATAGGTAAGAAAGTTAATGTCAAATAGCAATCTCAAATACAATGAGATACAAAGGGGCCCTTTAAGTGGTTACCTCTAACACAGGAGAAAATGCCAAACTGTGTGCATGACCATTCCCCTGTCAAAATTTAATATTCAATGAATTGTGTTCTTACCCAGTTTTAATATTTATTGAAATCAATTCTTTTTCTAAAAGATTTTATTTATTTATTTTTAGAGAGTGAGAGGGAGAGAAACATCAGTGGGAATGAGATACATTGATTGGTTGCCTCACCTGTGCCCCCAACCGGGGACCTGGCCTACAACCCAGGCATGTGCCCTGACTGGGAAGCAAACGAATGGCCTTTCAGTTTGCAGGACAACATCCAACCCACTGAGCTACACTAGTCTGGGCGAAATCAGTTCTTTCTTTACCATTTTATCATGTTATTTCTTTTTAACCTTTTTATATTTATACCTACCTTATTCTTTTTGTAAATTTATTTTTATTTTATTTTATTTTTTTAGAGAGAGGGGAAAGGAGGGAGAAAGGGGAGAGAAACATCAGTGTGAGAGAAGCATCAATCAGCTGCCTTCTCTAGGTACCCTGACCTGGGGCCGAACCCACGACCCAGGCCTGTGCCCTGACTGGGAATCAAACCCAGTGACCCTTTGGTTTGTGGGACAGTGTACAACCAACTGAGCTACACTGGCTGGGGCTGTGCCTACCTTATTCTTGATTTTTGACTCCTTTCTACTTTGCTTGTACTGTCTCATGCTTGATACCTGAGCAAGCCTGCCTTCCTAGCTTGCGAGTTTTGGCTTCATGTCTACCTGTAACTCCTCTATAGATTAATTCAGTAATGCCCTCCTGTTTGAACTGGCCCTGAAACCCTCCTATCACTGTGTAATGCACTGATCTGTAAGGCAACTTGTGTGTGTATAAAGTTAATATATAAATAATTGAGACCATTTGACGTTTTTCAAATTAGGGATATATAACTATTTAATAAGGAAGATCAACAAAACTCTTGTATATATTTTGGGTGCCTTCAGGAAGACCTAAAGGTAAATAGGGCATGCTAATTTGTTTGTGAAGAATCCTTACAGGAGGAAAGGGTAATATTTAGATATGTAATGTTTTTTAAAACGCTGGTAAGTCCTATAATAAGGGGAATGAACTATGGAAACTCAGAGTCAAGAAAAGACTTGGAGTTAAGTTTTCAAGTGAATCTGAGGGATACAGAGGAATTTCCATGAGGGAAAGGGAGGAAACCTTTGCAGGTTAGGAATGATTACATAGAGAAGAGAGATGTCATGAAGATAATGTAGGAGTCTATCATGGGCTTTGTACTCTGATCTCAGACTGCCTTTCCCAATTCATGCTCCTTCTCTCCATTCCCCAGTTCTCCTGGTCACTCTCACACTTACCCTCTTGTAAATGGGCTTGTTTTATTACTTTTTTCTACCCTAGTACTTAAGCTCTCATTGATTATTTCTCTGTACTGCTTAAATTTCCTAAAATTTCCCTTTAACTATTTTTGGGGGCAGATACTAAGAACTTATTTGAATATCATCAATATTTATCTGTTCTATACAATTTGGTTTCTGTAGCCAAATGGTATATCACATGAAACATCTTGGGTTTTTTCCCCCTCCAGGACAGAAGAGCAGTAATAAAACTACCAAGTCAACTCAAACGCAAGATTCTTCATTTCAGGAGCTGGTAATGAAAAGATCCAAAAGTAATGGACCCTGGGACTTCAAATCAGAAAATCCCTGCACATACGAAAACAGATTAGAGAGAAAGCAGAAGAAAAATGAGACTGTTCAGATATTTTCAGTCACCCAGAAAAACATTCCTACTGTAGAAAGAAGACATAAAAATACTGAATTTGGCCAAGACTTCAGCCCAAAGTCAGTACTTATTAGGCAACAGATGGTTTCTAGGGAGAAAACACCACCAAAATGTGAAATACAAGGAAACAGCTTCATAAAGAACTTAAATTTACTTAATCAACCAAAAAGCAACACAGCAGAGAAACGCTATAAATGTAGTATATGTGAGAAAACCTTTATTAACACGTCATCCCTTCGTAAACATGAGAAAAACCATAGTGGAGAGAAATTATTTAAATGTAAAGAATGTTCAAAAGCCTTCAACCAAAGTTCAGCTCTTATTCAACATCAAATAACCCATACTGGAGAGAAACCCTATGTATGTAAAGAATGTGGGAAAGCCTTTACCCTTAGTACATCCCTTTATAAACATCTAAGAACACATACTGTGGAGAAATCCTACAGATGTAAAGAATGTGGTAAATCTTTCAGTCGAAGGTCAGGCCTTTTTATACATCAAAAAGTCCACGCTAGAGAAAACCCCTATAAATATAATCCAGGTAGGAAATCATCTAGTTGCAGCACATCTCTTCCTGGGTGTCAGAGAATTCATTCCAGAAAGAAGTCCTATTTATGTAATGAATGTGGCAACACCTTCAAGTCCAGCTCATCCCTTCGTTATCATCAGAGGATTCACACAGGAGAGAAGCCTTTCAAATGCAGTGAGTGTGGGAGAGCCTTCAGTCAGAGTGCATCTCTTATTCAACATGAGAGAATTCACACTGGAGAAAAGCCCTACAGATGTAACGAATGTGGAAAAGGCTTCACCTCTATTTCACGACTTAATAGACACCGAATAATTCATACTGGTGAGAAGTTTTATAATTGTAATGAATGTGGTAAAGCCTTAAGTTCCCACTCTACACTTATCATTCATGAGCGAATTCATACTGGGGAGAAACCATGTAAATGCAAAGTGTGTGGGAAAGCCTTCCGACAGAGCTCCGCCCTCATCCAGCACCAGAGGATGCACACTGGAGAAAGACCCTACAAATGCAATGAGTGCGGGAAGTCATTCCGGTGCAACTCGTCCCTCAGCAATCACCAGAGAATTCATACTGGAGAGAAGCCGTATCGCTGTGAGGAGTGTGGGATATCTTTTGGCCAAAGTTCAGCTCTGATTCAGCACCGGCGGATTCACACAGGAGAGAAGCCCTTTAAGTGTAACACATGCGGGAAGACTTTCAGACAGAGCTCCTCACGTATTGCCCATCAGAGAATTCACACTGGAGAGAAACCCTATGAGTGCAGTACATGTGGGAAACTTTTCAACCATAGGTCATCTCTTACGAATCATTATAAAATTCACATTGAAGAGAGCGCCTAGAAAGTAGACTTACATGTGTGAAAGCCTTAAACCAAAGCTTACCAGAATACATGACAGTGCTGGAGTAAATGTGGTGCATACATAAAAAGCCTTTCTACAATTTAGTCATCAGATATTCAATTCCAAGGACAAGTCTTGACTACATAATAGACCATGAGGAAAGTGGGAAGTGTTCGTGTCTGTCAGACACTGTTAAAACAACCTGAAGCAGATTCACAAGAGGAGCACTGACTTCGGGCAGTTGTGAAACAGAAGAATCCTTTTATCTTGACAGCAGTGTACACTAGATACCATTCGTGATTGTCAGTAATATCTGGGCTGGGGTGGGGTGTGTACACTGGATTTCTCATTTAAAATAAACTGGTAATGCTTGTTAAAATAACATCTTAATGGCATATAAAAGATGTGATCTAAGAAACTATATGTTTTTAGAGAGAAGGACCAAATAAAAGACTCGAAGAACTGTAAACTACCTCTCAGTTGCTGGGGTTTGTCCTTTTCCTGACCTGATGTCAAACTTTGTGCATGGATTTCATTTAAAAATAGAAATAAAGGTCCGTTTTCTTCCTTTGTTCTAGTAATTGCAGTGGGTTTGGTATTTTCTACCCAATTTGTAATTCTGTTCTCAATATTTTTCTCTGAAGTTATTTATTGTGAAAATACACCTGCCTTACACTGTGAACTTTCATTTTAGATATATCAAGTGGAAAATGAACAATTATTTCAAGTTTAAAGCTATTAATATTTATTTATTTGCAACAGAGGAACTGTCAAAAGTTTAATGAACCTTAACATCTGTGCCAAAATACTGAAAGGCGCAGCAATAGTTTCATGATATAAAAAATATGTTATCCTTACTTGGTGTTCTATAGTGTCAATTTCAGGAAAACAAAAGGAGCACTTAGAAACAACTCAGTAGTTGCTTTTTGTGTTTTTGTTTTTGTTTTTAATCTCAGCTTTGGGGGAGATACTATACTGCATGGCTGGGAGGTTTAAGAAGACATAGGCTTTAGGGAAGCCATGAATTGGGGGAAGTGGTGGGGAATTCAGGGACTAGCAGATGAGTAAGCAAATTATTATGTCACAGTATGTAAATACGACTTTTAGCAGGCAAATAGGTAATTTGGGACAATATATTGCAATGCAAGAATGTGGAGGTTGCACAGAATGAAGAAAGAGGATATTGAACCTAGCCCAGCAAACCTGGAAATGTGAGGTGATGCTTTCCAGAGGTGTGGCACCTGAGCCAGGGTTTGAAAGAAGAATAATTCTCCAGAGGGCGAGATAAGCATTTCATAGAAGGAGAAACTGCATGTGTAATGACACCTTTGTGGAAACTCAAGTGGAACTAATGAGCAAGATAAGGACATGTTAAAAGTTGAGCAGAAGGCAGAGGCCACATAACAAAAGACGTAGTTGCCATGCTGAGAAGTTTGCATTTTATTCTGAAATTAATGGAATTAAAAGTTTTAAGCAAGGGAAAATGTGCCAACAATGTGGAGGATGAAGAAGGCCAAGTAGGTAAATACTGTGCTTGCCTCCTTCCATGGCCACATCAAAATTACAACTGACTCACAGAATAACCACCTTTGAGCAGCACCTGAATACTAGCTGAGTAGCACTACTGTAACTAAGGATATGAAGAAGAAACCACTTTGAGACTGGTAGGAGGGGTGGAGAGCAAAATGGGCTCACCCCATACCTGTGTGGCAGTTGAGAATTGAGAGGGATAGCTCGGCTGTGGAGGTCTCTGCTAAGGAGTGAGAGGTCCCAGCCTCACATCAGGTCCCCCAGCCTAGGCTGCCAGTGCCAGAAAGAGCCCACAACATGGGGCAGTGAAAATCAGCCAGGACTCTGTCCAAGTGAGACAGAAGGCTGCTGTGGCCCTCTTAACAGTTTCGTCTTAAAGGAACGTGCACAGACTGACTTCCTGTGGGACTGAATTGCTCTAAGCTCCAGTACTGGTGCAGCAGATCTAAAGGTGCCAAGGACATAAGGGAGGAAACAATTGTCTGGCTGGAGGGTTGGGATAAAGGGCCAGCTCTGTCCCAGATAGAAGTGCTGGAAGACACCCCTGTTCCCTTTGTTAACCCTTCCCCACAAACAGATAGGTGCCCTAACTGAGTCTTCATTCATTTGGCTAACAAGTGCTCTCCCCACCAGGGTGATTCCCTGAGACTTCACCACACTCAACCCTCCGACCAGCCCAAACCTTTTTCAGTGGTTGTTCCTCAAAAGCTGCTGACATTGCGCCACTCTGGATTTTCCTAAAATCTCTCAAAGGTCCAAAAATCCCAAACAGGCAGTGTCTGGCCTTGGCATGCTCAGTACTTCTTGCTAAGTGGCCCCAAGACTGGCATTAGTAGCAGCTGGCCTCTGTTCACAGCACAGGCAGCTACAAACCTCAGATCACTTTGTAGCTCCTACCAGGTCGCCCCTGGCCAGGCACAAGCAGCAGCTGACCTGGGTCTGCACCCAGGAAGTTCTCTCATGAGGCCTCAGAGCCAGCACATCTGATGGACAGCTTTAGGCCACACCAGAGCACCACCCAATTACCACCACATAAAACAGATCCTAAGTGTGAACTCTGCAGGCACCAGAGCCCTGCGAAAATGAATTCTGATCCCTAGGGTCAGCTGCTGCACAACAGCTAGACCAGTCTTCATAGCAAGATGGCCTCAGGGTCACCCCACCCACAAAACACCTACTATATAAGGCCACCCTTATACGGGTGGTCCGAGACTGGGAGACAGCAGATCTACCTAACACATAGAAACAAATAGAGAGAGGCAGCCAAAATGAGAAACGAATGCCGCGGCCAGCGAGGCAGTGGGTTCGAGACGCGCAGTGACGGACTGAAAAGAGAGAGCGACCAGTTGCTCTGGTGGCAAAAGGCAAGTTTATTGAAAACTCCTGTCATTATATAGTGAGATGTTCTAAAAATAGAATGCTTGCTACGCAATGAGAGTCTTTGTTCAAGAAAGTTTACACACCCCTTCAGGTCACGTACAGAACATCCTGGTTTAGATTAACTCCAAGGACACGACGCATCGCCCCAAGGCTCCGGCACCTCCCTGTCCTTCTCTTGGGAACAATCCGATAACAAACAAGGCCGGGGTAATGTCAGGTCACCTCCCCCGAGGCCAAGGAACAGGCCCAAGCATCATTCTCACAATGCAGGACCCTAACTCTTGACCCCTTCCTGGGGGCTTGGTTCCCCACATCTCCCCCTTTCTTGTTTAGGACAAGGCAATAGGTGCCTCATGACTTTTATAATCCAATCTTTGTCTTTTTAAATCGAGGTATAGATTTTGGATGTGCCCAAGTAGATATCGCAAAATGCACGGAAGACAAAGCAGTAAGATAAGGACAACGACTCCGGTTCCTAGCCAATTGTACAAGAGTTGGTGAATGGAGGGAAAATAACCGGCTAAAGTGTTAAAGAATTTTTCGGCATCTCGAGCAATGTCGACGTCCAATGGGGGGGCATTGACTAGATCCTGTATCTCTTTGTGCAAGGTGGCGAGGTCCAAAGAAGTGTTACAATCATGCCAGATTCCCGTCAGGTGATTCCGCACCTTATCCCAAGGGAATCGAGAAGAATTGTAAGGAAACGGGGTAACACAAATATGTGAGTATTGAAAGTGACATTTTAGAGAGGAGCGGACCTCGAGAGAGTTCAGTTCCTCTCCGACAACCCTTACGGTATCGTACAGAGCATTCAACTTCTGCTCTATTTTTCGATCCCATTCCTCTTGGGTCTGAAATGCAACAGACACATTGCGAGCTAGCTCGTTAACGAAGTCCGCGGTCTGAACCTCTTCTGTTAGTACTATGGTGGCGGTGGCGGCCGTAGCTATAAGGGCAATTAAGGCAGATATTCCTGTAATGAGCATTCCTACGAACCGTTTTGTGCGGGCCAACATTAAGTCATTAACCTTTTGGATGATAGCAAAACCAGGGTCCCCATACCAAGGGGTGGAAAGGTTAACAGGTACAAAGGCAAAAGAAGGTTGTTTCAATACAGCAAATGAACTAACATTCATAGATAGATTAAGGCAGTTAGTTAGATAGCACTGATCACAGGTTAGGTTATATACAGTATTATGAGAGACCTGCAAGTCTCCAGCAATGAACGCGAAAGGGTCGGGTACACAAGCTATCACAGAAACATTCTTCTGATTTCCAGACCAAGAGATGGCGTCCTGAGCTCCTATGTGCATCCACTGGACCGCTCTCTTTGCTACGGTAATATACTGAAGAGAGGCCACAGCTTTCCACAACATAGTCTGATAGGTTCTATTGTTTTTGGTCCAAATTCCGTAGAGAAGATTTTGAGGCCGCAACGAGCCGTTGCGAAAGTCACTCCAGTCACAAACCCCTTGGTCGCAAACTGTTTGATTGAGATGGCAAATCCTCCAGGCCGGTCCCCATTGGCTGGGCGATGGGGTCCGACTTCTGCAAGTTGGAATGTCAGCAGGGGGGAGTTCCTACGCCAATCGTGGCGGAGGTATTGTTGCGTTTCAAATACAGCATATCAACACCCCCAGTGAGTCCCATTACTAAAGTCACTGTCCCAGTCCTCATACCTCTGAATAAGAGTACAGTTTGCCAGAGAGGTGGAGAAGCAAAGCGGCTGCGTCGTAGATATGCCTGAATAATTGACCATCGCACTCACTGGTATCACATGTCCGACGGAAGGGGTGCCCAGTACCTGGGTGTTATTGACATAAACTGGAATGAACTCGTTGTCTTCCCAAGTGACTGGGTGCATGACAGGGGGGTTCGGGACGAAAGCCCAATACACCTCCGCGCTCACCGACAGCCTCAAGAGCCAGATAAGGCTAAGTAACAGCGCCAGCCGGCGCAGCTTCTTCTCCGGCCTCCTGATCCGAGGCTGTGTCGTCAGCGACATCTTCTCCATCCTTCTCGTCAGCTTGCGAATTTTGCTCTTGGGCATGACGAACACAGCGTTCAGGCAGCCAACGAGGAGCCTCAGCGTCTGTAGGAAAAAACACACACATACCCTCTTCCCCCATACTAATACTGGGTCTGGGCCATGGCGTGACCCGTCAATGGGATCTCTCCAATAAACTTGTGGGTATTGACTCATACGTGGGCTCCAATGACGGTCAGCTGCAGAGTGCCCCTCGGTATCTAGAGTGAGGAAATTTAAAACGAAAAGAGAATGGGCTAACAGTAACTTCGGGGACCGAGGATCATACCATCTCCCCCCTTTTAGTTTAGTAAGCTGGTGTTTCAAAGTAAGATGGGCGCGTTCAACAAGCCCTTGGCCCTGTGGATTATAAGGGATACCGGTTTTGTGAATAATTCGAAAAGAGAGACAAAAATTGTGAAAAGTACGGCTGGTATAGGCGGGAGCATTATCAGTTTTCAGTACACGAGGGGTTCCTAAAATGGCAAAACAGGAAAGGAGGTGAAGAATAACGTTACGGGTATTTTCGCCGGGAAGGGGTGTAGCGCATAAAAAAATGAGAACAGGTGTCAATCGTAACATGCAAATATTGAAGTTTTCCGAAGGAGGGAAGGTGGGTTACATCCATCTGCCAGAGATCGTTAG